AACTAAGGAGAAATTTCCTGATTGCTAGAACAATTAATCAGTGGAATGGCTTGCCTCCAGAAGTTGTGGGTGTTGGAGGTTTTCAAGAAGAGGTTGGAAAGCCTCTTGTCTCAAATTGTATAGGGTCTCCTGCTTGAGCAGGGGGCTGGATTAGATGACCTCCAAAATCCCTTCTCATTGACTGAATCTGTTGGAATGTTGTGCTGATGTTCAACCCTTGTTCCAATCTACACCCAGAATCATAGCTGTTCACTTTTCTGTGTGAAGATTCAGATTTCCGCAACTGCAGGGAAGTATCCTAATTCTTGGGTTATTCTTGGGTTTTTTTGTGTGTTTTTTTGAGGATGTTTTTTCAGGAAACCAAGTGCTGTTATTTATGGCACAGACAGAGGTCTGGAAATAGATTCCCACTAGATGGCTGTTAAGAGCCCAAGGACTGGAGAAATGTGGGTGGTGCGTTTAGTGCCATCAGCCTGGTTGGTTGCTTTCTCAAAGTAGCGCCTTGGTTGTAAATCAGTCCTGGCTCCCAAGCTGAGCACCCACACAGCTGGCACGGCTTCTGTAGCTGAAACCAGCTTTGGAAAGCACCGCAGCATGTGCAGCCGTGCCAAAGAGGCTGGCTGGGGCTCCCTGAGGCTGCGCCCAAACTGGCACCGGGAGACTGGCACAATGTCCTTAACTTCCCTTGTGTACACGGTGTGCTTTCATACATCCAGGCAGCTGGGCGCTGGCTGGCTTTTCTGGAGAAAGGAGTGGGATTATAATCTTAAGTGGTGCCTCTGTACCCTGAAACCAACATTTGTGTTGTGGAAGGGAAAGCACTTTGCACATACCCAGGGGCACTGTGTTTTCCTGGACCCCTGCTGGGATCAAAACAAGCCACAAAGCAGATTTAGAATTCTGAGGCAGAAGATGCTTTTAAGTTGGAAAGCGCTCCACTCGGATAATCCATTGCAACAAGGGTGTGTGTGGAATCATCTGTTATTCGAAGGAGTACCAATTTATTTATTTATATTCTGACTTTTTTATTTTTATAATTAACTCAAGGTGGCCCTTCCTCCTCCTATTTTTTACGACAACAACCATCCTGTGAGATGAGTTGGGCTGAGAAAGAGAGGGGGATCATTGGCCCCAAATCGCCCAGATGGCTTTGATGACCAAATCAAAACTACAACTCACCATCTCCTGGTGATTGGCCTAAAATCACCCAGCTGGCTTTTATGCCTAAGGAGTGACTAGAACTTGCCATTTTCTGCTTTCTAGTCAGGTACCTTAACCAATAGACCAAATTGGCTCTGTGCTAGGGGCCAGCATCACCAGTTTGGAATAGAGATAGGAGCATTACACTGGCAGTGGGAAAGAGATAAGCCTTCAATTAAGGAAATTTGGATGTTTTTGGCCCTTCCCCATTCCTCTGCCCAGCCAACCTTGCAGGGTTATTGTAAGAAAAACCGGCTGAGCAAGTGGTAAGAGCATCACCTTGAAATCTTAGCCATCAGGCAGGTTCCAACTTTTGTCAGGCCAATCAAGAAATATTAGTTGTGCAATACGGATTTTGGCTGGCTGAGAAGGCTTCAATTCCTTGGTCTCAAAGGGACATTTTAGTTTTTTGGGATTACAAGAAGCTCCGCCCTGGCAGAGTCAAACAAGAGCCATCCAGTTTGAGTTCTTCGGGATCACCTCCAAAGTGAAGCACACATAGGGCAAATTCCTTTTCAACATTTTCACTAGCTCTCTTTCACCCTGAGCTGCCATGCTAACAAATAACAACTGTGCTGTGTTCTTTTTTCTTTTTTTTTAAATCCCTTCGCTTTTAGTTCGTTCGTTGGATCAGACATTGGGGCAATTGGTGTTGTGTGTTGTGCATTTACACAAATGCAGATTTCTCTGCAGAATGTAATTCCTTGCCAGTTTGTTTTTTTTTTGGGGGGGGGGGGACTGTGCCCTTCCTTTGGGCCAACCTCAAACCACTTAAAAGGGGCCCTGAAAGCTTTTCCCACTGAAAGATCCTGCTTTGTAGCAGATTAGAAAGAGAATGCGGGTCTTTAAGGCCTCTTATTTCTGCAAACTTCAGAGCTGATTGCATTGTCCTTCCACACACCCCTCATCCCCCCGCCACTCTTTTCTCCTCCTTCCATCTCTGACCTGCACCTTCCTTTTGAAAACGAGATGTTCGAATCGGACAAGAATGTGCATCTGGCCTGAATATTTTTTTCGGAAAGTGTTCCCAGCATCGGAAGAGCTGGCTGTGCCAGAGAGGAATTCCTGCGGGTTTGATCTGCTCCATCGTGTTTCTGGTTAGGGGTGTTTTAAAAAGAAAAAAGTTTTTTTTTTCTTTAACGAAGGCTGTTCTAGGTCAATTGAGATGAGTAAGAACTGGAAGATCAGAACAAAATGTCTTTGTTGGCAAACCTAGCCAGATGAGATGAGATTTCTATGTGTTTATGTCAGGGTGGTTGGATTCCACACTGACACCACACTCAGTTTGGATTGTACAAGCTGGACTTTTGCACAAGCCTGAATTAAAACACACGGCAGGTTGATTTTCCTAGCTTTTTCCCTTCTGAAATAGAGGCACGTGACGCCTACCTGATCCTAGAAATGAGCCACTTGCTGCAGGTTTGTCACTAGTTGTAGCTTTTGAACTGTCTATATCAGGTTGCTGCTGTTGTATTTTAGACATGTGTTTGTTTGTTTTTTGAACTTGGCAACTTGAAGATTCTGGGACTTCAACTCCCAGAATTCCCCAGCTGGAACGCTTCAGGTTGCCAATTTTGAGAAACCCTGATTTACACAGGTGAGAGCTGCCTACCGCTTAAAGGCACAAGGGTCTTCAAACTTGGCATATTTAAGACTCGTGGACTTCAACTCCCAGAATTCCTGAACTAACATCTGGAGAAAGAGGAATTCTGGGAGTTGAAGTCCACAAGTCTTAAAGCTGTCAAGTTTGAAGACCCCTGCCTTAGTAGAACATGGAGGTAAGAACAGGGGAGCATGCAGAACCCAATGAGAAGCCTCATAAGAGATTGGAGGGCAGGAACTGTTGGAAGAGGATCTTTACCTAACTATTCCACCCCCATTTCTGCCAGGGGGTTGGGCCAGGGGAGCTAATATCCTTTTTATAAGGCTGTGATTGGCTGAAGCAATGATGGCCAACCTATTGGATAATTATATCCCAAAGAGCCATGTGTTCCAAGTCATGATTAAAACAACTTTAGCACTTTCCAGTTTAACAATAAAGCTGAGCATGAAAATTGGCAGTAGGATCAGGGTATTTAAGGGTACATGAAGAGAGATAAATTACTAAAAGCTCTTACCCACCGTTAATTAAGAAATAAGGTTGCTTCCTCTGTGTGTATTGTATTGGCAGTGCAATGAAGTACTGTATTGGAAATTGTTCTTAATTCCCTCCTTCCTTCCCTCCTTCTCTCCCTTCCTTCCTCTCTGGATTGTGATTGTTTCTTTTTCACACTGGAAAGGATAGAGATAGATGGTCAGTTCAGTCTCCGGAGGCCGGTCCTGTTGAGGAAGAAATAGGCTGATGTCTTTCAGCCAGCCTTTCTCAACCTTCACAACTATAAGATAGGCAGACTTCAATTCCCAGAATTTCCCAGGCAGCAGTCCTAATTTCCAGATTTGTTATACAGGTAGCCCTCGACTTACAGCAGCTCATTTAGTGACCGTTCAAAGTGGCAAAGTGGAAAAAAAGCAGATTACGACCATTTTTCACACTTATGACCATTGCAGTATCCTCACGATCACAAGATCAAAATTTGGATGCTTGGCCAATGACTCATATTTATGATGGTTGCAACGTCCTGGAATCAGGTGATCCAAGTTTTGTAACTTTTTGACGGGTAAAGTCAATGGGGGAAGCCAGATTCATTTAACAACTGCAGTGATTCACTTAAGAACTAGGGCAAGAAAGGTTGTAAAACGGGGCAAAACTTTAACAACTGTGTCGCTTAGCAATAAAATGTTGGGCTCAATTGTCGAGGACTATCTGTGTTGTGACTTCTAGGTTGGCAGAATATTACCTGAACAGGTGTGTTTGAGGATCCTGAGAAGCAGGCAGCCTTACCTGCTTGTAATGCAGTTTTCAAATGTAACTTGCCTAAATGTAGTCGGTCCATTTTCACAGTTTCTCCCTTTTTCTCAGCTTTGGTTTGTTCATCTGTGAAATGGACATTCTTCTTTCATAGGCGTAGTAGTAGGTCGGCCATGTACCGTTTTAGAGGTTCACATGCTACAGAAATGGTCACAAAAATGATGTTGAAGCCCTGATAGGATGGATGTTTTTTGTTTAGTGAATGAAAGCTTGAAATTTTCTCCATGAAAGCTTGCAATTGTGTGGACTTCAACTCCCAGAATTCCCTGTAGCTGGCTGAGGAATTCTGGGAGTTGAAGTCCACAAGTCATAAAAGGGCCATCATTGCCCACCACTGTCTTAGACAAAGCTAGAGAAAGTTAAAGTTTCATTTGGAGGGGGGTGTCTATGCTTGGAGCTATCAACATTCTGGACTGGGGCATGCAGAACCTTTCTTCACCTCTCTAACCAAGGGGTTTTCAAGCACTCCTTTCTATGGGCAGCCCCTTCCCAGGCCAACCTGGACGCCAAGAAACCCCTGAAGAAGAACCAGTGGGTATCACCTAGGTTTCTTGGGTATACTGGGTGATCTTGACCCTGAAAATTGTCCTAATGAGATTGGTTGAGCTTGGGCATCAGGGTTCTGTGTGAAGGAATTACAAATGCCTTGAAGGAAAACAAGGTTTCCGGTAGGTGGGGAAGATGGGAGATGTAGTTTAAGCTCATTTGAAGAGTTGAGGGCTGGCTGGGTTGAGGAAGCCTTGTCTTCCTCTCTTGCCTTCCAGACTTAGCTTGTTGGTGAGAACTTCTTGAAAACTTTCTGTCTGGTGACGTTTCATTGGAACATACCTTTGGAAATGGTTTGGACTCCTTACTCATGTCTTTCTCTTTTTTCTTCTTTTCACTCAGATAGAAGAAAAAATCTCTTCCTCATCATGACAGGATTGCTAAAACGGAAACATGATGAATTGGAAGATGTTTCATACATCTCCACTTCATCTTCGTCTTCTACTTTCTCATCTTCCTCAGCTTTGTCAAGTTGGGAATCGGACGAAGAAAACTCTCAAGGAGGCCTCCAGCCCTCTGTGGCCTTAAACATGGATTTCACCCGTAAGTACTGAGTTTCTTAATGTACTTGTGAGATCGAACCAGGTTCAAACAACCCCTCCAATTTTCAGTTTTGAAGCCAGACAACCTTCCTTCAGTAGATTTTGAATGCTAATTTTGCAAAATGTTCAAATAGCTTTGGGCCCGTCTATCTGGCTACGGGGCCTTTTGGTACACCTGTCACACATGGTACATATTTTTCACGCTTACAACCATTGCCAACATCCCCTTGGTCACGTGATTTATATTCTGATGCTTGGCAACTGGTTCATACTTAGGGTGGTTACAGAGTCATGTGATTCCCTTCTGCAACTTTATGATGAGCAGAGTCAGTGGGGAAGCCAGATTCACTTAACAACCGGGTTACTAACTTAATGACTGCAGTGATTCACTGAACAGCGGTGGCAAGAAAAGATTCATAAAATGGGGCAAGGCCCATTTAACATCTGTCTCACTCAACCACAGAAATGTTAGATTCCTTTGTGGTCGTAACTCGAGGACTACCTGTATCTGTGTTGGGATTAAGAGTTGAAAGCAGCTGTCACAAACAGTGACAGGGAAAGAGCAATAATATTAAGATGGAGAAGGTTTAGCAGCACTGCAAGGAACGGATTGAGTTAACGTACTTTCAGAGGCCACCTTGGGATTTGTTTGAGCAAATGATTTCAATCAGAAGATGTACTTTAAAAAAAATCAAAAATAAAAGTTTTCATTTCTGGTGAAATCGCATCCCTGTGATTATTATTATTATTATTTTTGAAAAGCTCCTAAGGGGAAGCATTAAGTAGCAGCAAATCATCTTTAAACGTATGCCATTTTTAAAGCTAACTTTTTAAGACTGATTGTGATGCAACCCTTTATTTAACTGGCTGCCTCCTGCAAAACTTTTGATCTGTTCTGACAGGACTTGGCTGAGATTTTCAGCATCCTTTTTTCATTAGTGATCAGTGTGTGCCTCTCTCCCTATATTTTCTACAGAAATGGCACCTACTTCTTTTCAGGTATGCCATCTGCTACGCTCCTAACCAAGGGCAAGACTTGTCATAAATCTTGTTCAGAACCTTGGGGACTTAGCAGACTGTTTGGCAAATCTGCTGGCGTTTCAGAAGGGGCAGGGTCTCGGCGGAAGCAACAAAGCTTCTCTCGTTTTTGAACTCTTGTGCAAAAGGAAACCCCAGACAGCTTCAGGGAAGGGGGGTGAGGATGGCAAACACTCAAGTAGGGTAATAAAAATAATTAGCTTCCTTTTTTAACCCTTTTTTTGCATCTTCACTCTTGGCGATGGGATATGTGTTCTGTCTTGATTGAGGGAAAAGTAGGATAAAAATGTGATTTGGGAGAAGATAGGAGAGGATTGGGAAGAAGGAAGGAAAAGAGAAAGGGAGGCAGGGAGGGAGGGAAAAGAAGGAAGGAGGAGGGAAAGGATGGATGGAGGGATGGGAAGGACTCGCTCTTTTGGTCAATTAAGGAATACAATTAGTCCTTGGCTTATGACCACAATTGAGCCCAAAAATTTATGTTGCTAAGTGAGACACTTGTTAAATGAGTTTTCCCCCCATTTTATTAAGTGAATCACTGCAGTTGCCAAGTTAGTAACAGTTTAGTAAGTAAAGTTTGTTAAGGGAATCTGGCTTTACTTGTGAGAAGGTCCCCTAAGGAGAAATCCCATGACGCTGAGATACTGCAACCATTGTAAATTTGAACCAGTGGCCAAGTGTCTGAATTTTGATCTCATGACGATGGGGATGCCACAAGGGTCATAAGTGAAAAATGGTCATAAATCACTTTTTTTCAGTGCCACTGTGACTTCAAATGGCTACTAAATGAATTGTTGTAAGTCAAAGACTACCTGATCTCAACTGACCAATTTGACTTTGAGAGCATCCTTTGTTGTCAAGGACAGAGATTGCAAGGAACGGTCACCATAGAGACTGCATTTTTAATTCTTGACCACAGGTTCTTTGGCTGCTATTCACCTCGTAGCTTTTCCTTTTTTTCCTCTCCAGAAGCTCAGATCTCATTATTTAATATCTGGAAGATTCCAGCCCATTTTAAGTAAATGGATTCCAGGTCGATCTAGCTCTATGTGTGTTATGAATGCACTCAGATTGGTTTGACCCCCATGTATCTCTTTTTAATTGAATTCTCTGCAAATTGCCAGCCTAAGCTAAATCACGTTGGGGTTTTGCAGAGCCTATAGTTGCAAACCACAAAGTTTTTGCTCATAATAAATTATTAGGGAGAGAGCAATGCTCTGTCCCACCACTATGATGGCCAAAGTACCACGTAGGTTTTGTGTGAAGGAGGAACCATAACAAAGGGGTCCGAATGAATTGTCTTGATCATCCAGCGTTCCAAAGGTGCTTTTTCAAGAGGCCACAGAACTTTCTTTGTTCTTCCTTGAAGACGTTTTGCTTCTCATCCAAGAAGCTTCTTCAGTTCTGACTGAATGATGAAGAATGGGAGGATGTTATGTTCCTTGCAATCATCTGGTTGTTGGCATTCTTTCTGAGAGTTGAGGCTAGTCGGAGGTTTATCTGTGCCTCTGGGATCACCGGGATAGTGCAAATAAGCGTGCAACTTTTTTGAAACTGCTGGAAAGACAGTATTGTAAACAAGAGATAGATGGTGTTATACCCCTCCCCCTCTATTGAAGGGTGTGTGTTCAATTTGCAGCCATTTACATTAAATTTGAACAGGGTTTGAAGCACCCACAACTTTTGGAAGCAAATTGCTCTCGTTTTCTCCTTAGTCCTAGGTTGCTTCTCTCCTTGGTTAGTTTCTACCCATTTCTTCTTGTCCTGCCTTTAAGGTGCTTTGGAAAATAGCTTGACTCCCTCTTCTTTGGGGCAGCCCCTGAGATATTGGAGCACCGCTATCATGTCTCCCCTGGTCACAAAGCTGGAAGAAGGAGCAGGGAGCAAATATTTCCAGCCATAGCTCCTCTTTGCATCTTTCCAATTCATTCTCACTGTGTAGTCGCCTGCTTAGTTTCTCCCTTGTTTTTCTCCTCCTTTGCCTTGTCGTCTCTTTGATTCTTGACTTTTTTTTTTTTTATAAAAAAAAGAACAAACGTACTTTACCAAAAGGAGGGAGGAAAGCCCAAATCCCAGAAATGAGATGAAAACTTTTTCTAAAAACCGTCAAAAGAACCTGTTCCACAGGCTGCCGCTTTAAGATAAACAGCTCAAGTGCCCATTTGGTGTAGGGATCACCTGTACGGAGATTAAGTGTACGGCAGCTGTTTTTCCGGGGCAGACTCTGGGGAGCAAGCCAAGGGTTACCAATCTTCTCCAAGCTTGCATTCCTGCCTTTCTGCAGGAAAATAGGGAGGTTGGCCTTTCCCTTTTTTTAAAATAGAAAGCAGAGGGGTTTTTTTTCCACTTCTGACCATACCCTCCAAAATTCCTTGCTGATGGCAGAGAGCGGCAGCTCAGCTCGGGCCATTGAATAACACTTATGAATATTTCACCACGTGGTTCTAGGCCCACGAGGAGACTATGGAGTGGGGCGGAGAAATGGGAGGGTTTTTTGGTTTGTTTGTTTTTTTTGCAAACTCACCCCTACCTAAATAGCCTCTGAGCTCAGTTCTGAAAGTGCATGTGCAGAAGGAAGAGAGAAGGATAGGGGTGTCTGGCTCCTGGCCAGAATAAAAAGCCAGCTGAAGTATCGGGTGGCACATGCAGGAACGGCCGTGCCAGGGAAGGCAGGTGGGTCGGAGAAGAGAGGAAACATGAGCCCGGGTGATGCCAGCTGAAACTGGGCTGGCAGAAGGGAGGGAGCTCAAGCTGGCTTTGCCCAACTTGGTGCCTTTTAATCAGGCATCAACCTGCGCCTTAGACCAGAATTTTGTATGAGGCATATCTCACAAGGGGGTTAGCCCAACCTCACAAGGGGGTTGTGAAGATAAAGTGGAAGTGGCTTATGTAAAAAAAAAAGAGGCTTTTAATACAAATAGTCTTAGATTTACAACCATTAGATTTTAGTGACCATCCAATATTATAATGGCACTGAAAAAAGGTGATTTGTGGCTGTTTTTCACACTTACAACCATTGCAGCCTCCCCATGGTCTGTGATCAAAATTTGGACGTTTGACAACTGGCTCATATTTATGACGGTTTCAGCGTCCCTGGGGGGGTGGGATGGTCATATGATCCCCTTTTGTGGCCTCCTGGCAAGCAAAGTCAATGGGGAAGCCAGATTCACTTAACAACCATGTTACTTACTTAACAACTGCAATGATTCACTTAACAACTGTAACAAGAAAGGGGGCAGAACTCACTTAACTGCTGTCTTTCTTAGTGATGGAAATATTGGGCTCAGCTGCAGCCGTAACTACCTGTTCATTTATAATATTTAATTTATAAAACCAGAACGCCTTGAATTGTCTATAAAATAATAGAGGTAGGTTATTAAGTAAACAAATGATAAATAAATAATTTGCTGTTTTGAAGGGGAAATGGGTTTGAGGAAAGTGCCATATTTCCCTGTGTTTTGCTTTCATTCTCCAGGCCACAATTTTTCCCAAGATTTTTAAAAAATCCAGTTCTTTAAATTAACCAGGTTAAGAACTTGGCTTTTCACATTTTTTCCCTAAGTTGGTCTTTTTGTGGGAAGGGTTACATTCCTGTTTTTCTTAGTGTAGAATACACAGCAAGTAGGCCTTTACATTTCACAAAAGAATACAACTTTATACTGTAAAGGGAAACAGTTTAGCAGTATATTTTGTAGCAGTTGAGTTCTCAGGTGATGCATAGCCAGGTCTTTGCCTGTGTCAGTGGGGTACATCATGGTTATTGCTGATTAATTTTTTTTATTATTATAGGTAGTCCTTGATTTATGACCATAATTGGGCGCACAACTTCAGTCCTAAGTTGTGACAGTCATAAAGCAGGTCACATTACCATGCTTGATCTGTAACCTTTGTTTGCTTAGTCATTAAGCAAATGCAGTGGTTATAAAGTGAACACCAGTGTCTTTAAGTGAACATTGTAATTGTTAAGCAAACAATTCTCCTCTATCAGGTGGTGGGAGTTTTTTTGGGCTAGGAAAGGACATAAATGCTGGTTTCTGGGGAAAAAATGACATAAATTGCAGTCATGTGACCACCGGATGCTGCAAATGGCTGCAAATACAGGCCGGTTGCTAAGTAACCAAAACCACGCAATCATGTTCCCAATGGGGGTGGAAGTGGACAATGGAATTTTGAATCCAGATCATAAATGTCTCTGTTTTGTGGGAGGTTGTTCTGTCATAAAGTCAAACAGTTGCAAAGTGATTAGTCATAAGTCAAGGACTACCTATAATATCATATATCAAGGGCTGTGATGGCACAGTGGTTTGAATGCCAGGAGTACAATTCCCTCAATCCTGCGCGGTTCAAGATTGACTCGGCCTTCCATCCTTCCGAGATCGGTGAAATGGGGACCCAGATGGTTGGGGGCAATAGGCTGCCTCTATAAACCACTTAGAGAGGGATGTAAAGCACTGTGAAGTGGTATATAAATCTAAGTGCTATTGCTATTGGACACACAATTTCCTTGTGTGTCCAATCACACTTGGCCAATATCATGGCTTTTAGCAGGAATTAAAATGCAAGCTCCTTGTCTTCATTGATTTACAGCACGGGTCTTCAAACTTGACAGCTTTAAGACTTGTGGACTTCAACTCCAAGAATTCCTCCTCCAGTCATGTCAGCTCAGGAATTCCGGGAGTTGAAGATCACAAGTCTTAAATTTGCCAAGTTTGAAGACCCTTGATTTAGAGCAATGTTTTTCAATCTCAGCAGTGTTAAGTTCTGTAGGTTTCAACTTGTCAGAATTCCCTAGCTAGAATACTGTCTGGGGAATTCTGGGAATAGAAGTGCCTCCCTGTTGCTCGGAGAATTCTGGGAGTTGAAGTCCATTCATCTTAAAGTGGCTGAAACCGAGAAACATTAATTTCGACGGAAGTTGGAGGGTGGGGGAAAAAGACATTTGTCAAAAGAATAACGGCAGTCAACGCTCATTTCCTTCCCTTGTTCTTCCTGCAGCCACGTCCATCCTGAAAAAAAACAAGCGGCAGAGGCGGAACAACGTCAATTTCGACCGGGTCACCGTCTTCTACTTCCCGCGTTGCCAAGGATTCACCTCCGTGCCTAGCTGTGGGGGCTGCACCCTGGGGATGGCCAAGAGGCATGGCTTCTCCCAGGAGTTCACTATGTCGGAGTTTTGCGAACAGCAGAATATTGTCCGGCGTGAGAAGATGAAGGACAAGCTGAAAGAAGAGAAACTGAAAGCCATTAAATTGAAAGTAAGAATTTTCTCCTTTGCAAAGCGTCCCAGGTTCAGTTCTTCATGTCAAGGAAGATTTTAGGGAACTCAGATTGCTTGGGGCTCCCCGTCCCCTTGGCCCCAAAAGGCACGTAAAAGCCACTTAGCAATACAACCAGGAGTAATGTGGGAACACTAACTCTTCTTGAGGAGAGTTGGAAAAATCTGTGCCATGGAGTTTTGGATTCCTGGGGAAATAATTTTGCACTGGGCTGTATGTTAGTTACCTTAAAAAAAAACCCTTTAAAAAACCCTTTTGTACATTATTTATAAAGGTTTCATTTATTTCTTAAATCTCAGAACAACCACCAGCCCCCTTTATTGAGGTAGCCAAGAGTGAATATGGCCCTGAAACCTACTTTTGTCATTTCCCAGTGTTTTCTTTCCAATGTTATCAGGATGTTTGAGAATTTTTTTGGAATTTCTTTTGGTGGTGGGTTTATTTTTATTTTTGCTTGAAGCTGAATTTTGGAATGGGCAGAAGAGACATCGTTTCTCTGTTCTCTTCGTTATTCTGCCCACATCCCAGTCTAGTTAAGGCTCCCTAGGTGGAACATAGACCATTCATTTAGAGACTGCTCAAAGTTACAATGGCCTTGAGAAATGATTTAAGACTGGCCCTTGCACTTAACAATGGTGGCAAGAAAGGTCTTAACACAGGACAAAACTCACTTAGCCTCTGTCTCGTTTAACAGCAGAATTGTTTGGCTCAATTGTCATAAGTCAAAGACTACCTGTACTGGCAGGAAAATAAACGGGGTAATTTTTCAGCACAGCACCAGGCATTTGCTGTGTACTGGATTTGCCTGGATAAAATCCCACCCGAAACTTGGTGTCAGAGAAGGGGGTGGATCTCTGACTAGAAAGCCTTGAACTCCCAAAGTAGCCCCTTGCAGGACTGAGGGTCCCTTTGTCTCCCCCTCCCCAATCCAGCTGACCATGAATGGCAAGAAGCTGATGAAGGAAGTCAGCCAGCTGACCACAGAGGACATCTTGGTGGACGATGAGGACATCAGCCACATGGATCTGAGCAGCAGCTTCCTCCTCCAACCTTACACCACCAAGAAGAGATGTGCCTTGCTCAAGTCCATGGGAGTCAAGAAGATTGATAGGGAGGAGAAGTGGCAGTTGCAAAGGATTCGTCTTTCTCGGGAAAAGTGTGGCTGTGACTGCCAGGGGTTTTGTGACCCCGAAACCTGCAGCTGCAGTTTGGCAGGAATTAAGTGCCAGGTGAGTGGCCTTCTCTGAAAGAACACAAAATGGCAACAGCGAGGTTAGCAGCAGAGATCGTCTGTTGCTCCTGTCAAGTTTTCCCAGTCAGGGTTGTGTAGGAACATGTTACTTGCATCAAGAGAAGCTAAGCATTAGCTATCCTGTGCAACCAGGATGCCTATCACTCTCCACCACCCCAAGCCAACCACCACCACCACCCAAAAAATATTGCAGGCTATTACAGTAAATCAGAATATATTTTAAAGCGTGTTAAAGCAGCTTGGTGTAGTGGTTATGGTGCTGGCCTAGGAACCAGGAGATGATGAGTTGTAGTTCTGCATTAAGCAGGGAAAATGGGCTTGGATGACTTTGGGCCGATCACCGGGAGATGGCGAGTTCTAGTCCTGCCTTAGCCATGAAGCTGGCAGAGGCCTTTAAGCTACTCACTCTCTCTCAACCCACCTCCCAGGATTGTAGAAGGAGGAAGGAGCATTAGATATGTTCGCCTCCTTGAGTTACTTATAAACAATAATAGTGAGATAAAAATCAAAGAAATAAATAAAATCTCAAAAGGCTTAATAGTTTGCAGGGGAGGGTGGGGCGGGGCTAGCTAGTGACCCAATCTAGGAAACTATATTTGTATTAAAATGTTTTTTTTTAAATAGGGCATGTTTGTCAAAGGGGCAGGGAAAAATAACATTTCCCCCTTGCCCCTGTTCTTCGTTTAAGTATGCAGTCTTATTTTATTCCCCTGATAAGATTAAAATAACTTCCATTGTCTTTTTTTTTATTGTAAGAAAACTGGCACACGTTAAAAAGGAACATCCGTTGCCTGCCCTCAAAGAACCTGTGGTTTTATTATAAATAAATATATTTTTCCAGTAATTAAGGAATATGAACAGGAGCATTGTGAGATAAATTACAGAGCACACAGGGCAAAAAAAAAAAAAAAAGGCGGGAAACAAGGAACCTCCCCCTTTCCTCTCACAGCAACCAATCACAGCTGAGATTCCTTCATGCAGTGGCCAGCCCTCTAACCAATTGGCGATAACTATGTGTTTGTGCAGTGTACAACACCATCCTCGGGGGTGTGTGTGTGTGTGGTGTTTAAAAACAAATAATAATAATATCCGCATGTTTTATGTCCTGAGATACAATGGAGAATGGAATGGAAACATTGTGCGACCGATGTCGGGTGTCTCTTCTTCTAAACATTTGATCTCTCTTCCAACAGATGGATTACACTTCCTTTCCTTGTGGGTGCACTAGGGATGGTTGTGGGAATACAGAGGGGAGAACCGAGTTCAACCAATCTCGGGTGCAGACGCATTTCCTCCATACGCTCATGAGGCTGCAAATGGAAGAGAACCAGCGAAACTGTGATGAGCATCTTGAGTCTGAGCTACATTTCAGGGACCATCTTCACCCGTTTGCCCATCCGGTCGACAAGGCCGCCTATGAAGAAAGACCCGTCTCGCTGATGTCCATCTTCAAGTTCAGCACCACCTTGGAGACCGTCGGCGAGAACAGCTGCAGTAGCAACATGACCGACTCATCGGTATCAACCAACCAGAGTGAGGATTTGGAAGAAATGTTCGAAACTAATCCAAAGTCACAATCGGACATCGATGACAATGGCCTGGCTCGGATCCTCCACTTCAACGATTCGGATGGAGAAGAAGACATCAATAGCGTCGGCCACTGCCAGGATAATCTGAGTTCTTTCGACCCTTCCGATTTCTTCAGCGTGCATGTGGAAAACGAGTGTGCTACCAACCCTGTTGAAGAGATAGGCTTCGGCAGTGGTTTTGGCTATTTAACAAATATCGGTGAATGTTTGGATGAGAATGCCAATCAGGGACCAAGCGGTGTCCTTGAGGACATCTCCGCTGGACAAGTCGAAGAAAGTGCCAGCTATTCCCCATCTTCCTTTGAAGAGCAGGACTCCAGGAGCTACATGGACCTGAGTTTTTCCTCCGACCCTTTGGATTTTTTCCACCCCTTTCCGGATTACAACCTGGGACCTCTGTATAACTCCTTGAGGGAGTATGAGAATGTGGACAACTGTACAGTTTTGCCAAATCTCCCCAGCTTGTCTCAACCTGCCGATCAGAACAGCTGCTTTCTGGAGTCCTTGATTGGGTTGTCTGAATCCATCCCAGAAATCCCTGCACCTTTTTCAGACAACCAGCTTCTTCTCGAAGATGCCATTAAATCATCTCTAGTGGAGACCATGAAGGTTTAAGTTTTTATACTTTTTTTTTCCCCAATGCGTGTGAAAGGAAAAAGCGGACAGTTTCTTGTTTCCCTATGGTGAATAAACATTCCTTTTCTGTGAGATGCTGGAAAGAAGATCTTTCTAAGCAGATAAATCAATATTGTTTTATTTTGGACACTTTGTGGAGGAAAAAAAAAAGTGCTAAAGATTTTTATTTTATTTTTGTTTTTTTTTACTATTTGTGAAAAACCTTTTGAGATCTTAATGGCATTTCATGGGGGTGGGGTGGAAGGCGAATTTTGCAAATCCAAACTCAATTTTCTTGCATTTTGTATAAGGGGAGATGGGGAGACTTTGTATATCTTTAAGTTTGTGGATTGCCCAGCACCTTCTGCAGACATGCTGAAATGTTTGTGGACATTTTTTCGGCAATTGCTCTGTGAGTTACAGAAGTATATTTATTGTGCAAATGATTTGCTATTGATGAAATGGGTAAACGTTTACAACCGGGGAAATAATTATATTATTTGCATTATTTCTTTACTCCCCTATTTATTACAAAGGATCACCCATTTAAACAAGCTTCAACAAAGTATGGGACTTTATTTAAAATAGTGATAGCTTATATATTATGTACAATCATTTTCGTTTTGCATAATATATATTATTTATTTGTCAAAGGCTTCTTGGTTAGGCTGTGGTCAGTTAAGGTGCTGAAAGGGAAAGAGAGATATATTTGGCAGACCAGCCCTTGAGGATTTATTTTGCATTAGGTATCCCCTTACTTGGTCTCCCCTTCGCCTCTTTTGGATTGAACACCAAGATGATGACCCTTTAAGCTGTATCTTTTCCATAGAGCTGTCTCGAGTGTCCAGGTTGGGAGGAGCTCCAGTCTCGGCTCTCACAGGCTGAGCTTGAGATTGAGGAACGCCTCTCACCATCACGTGGTCCTCCGGGCGCTCCCCAGTTTTTTGCTCAGCCTCGTGGCAGTCATGCTGTTTTTCCTTTTGCTCTTGAGCAGGGCCGACCGCCTCGCCCTGGGCGGAACCGGACCTGGTCCCCACCAGCACAGGCCACAGTTCGGGAACACTTCACGCCTCCCCTCCATCACTCTGACCTGGAGTTCTCTCAGGGGGATTCCCACCAAGGGTCTATTCCATAACCCCCTAGGGAGTCACATCGCCATCCTCGCAACGGTGGCCTCCGGTCATTGAGGGTTCCTCCCCTCAACCCCGGCTAGGTCTTCCTCAGGGGAGCTTCCCATCCTCGCCCCTGCCCGGGCTCCTTTCGACCTGGGTCCCTAACAAGGTCCTGGCCGATCTTACCTAGTCCTTGCCCCACGGCCCCAGTAAGCATCTACTGGCGTCCCCGGCAGGGCTACCTTCCAGACAGCCCCGCCTCCTTCATTAGGCCCTCTTGTTGAGGCATTCCAACCTCCAAGGGGTTCTCCTGTCGGGCGTGCCCTCCAGCGGGTTCATCAGGGTCCCAGGAGAGGTTCCGTTCCAGACAGGAGCCCGCCCGCAGGACTAGCCAAGCTTTGGTATGTCCCAACCTGGACACTCGAGACAGCTCTATGGAAAAGGGGCGTTGGTTCTTACCTGATACGTTTCTTTTCGTAGAGCTGTAGAGAGTGTCCAGCCCCACCCATAGGCCGTCTGGTGGAAAACCTTGCTGTTCGACCGAGCAAACTAATATATTTTTCCTGAGTAAGATGAGAACAGGGCCTTCCTTCTCGTCTTCGCAAAACTGGGGAGCGCCCGGAGGACCACGTGATGGTGAGAGGCGTTCCTCAATCTCAAGCTCAGCCTGTGAGAGCCGAGACTGGAGCTCCTCCCAACCTGGACACTCTCTACAGCTCTACGAAAAGAAGCGTATCAGGTAAGAACCAACGCCCCTTCTCCTCCCACCCTCCCAAATTCCCGTTTCCCTCTCTCCTTCCATAATTCCCTCCATAACTCCTTCCTTCTTTCCCACCCTCCCTCCCTCCTCCCTTCTCTCTCTTCCTCCCTCCTTACAAGAATTAAAGAGGGAGGGAGAGAGGAAAGGAAGGAATCTTCCACCCCTTCCTTCCCTCCTTCCTTCCCTCTCTTCCTCCCTCCTTACAAGAATGAAGGAGAGAGGGAAAGAGTTAGGGAGGAAGAATTCCTTCCTTCCTTCCTTCCTTCCTTCCTTCCTTCCTTCCTCCCTTCCTCCCTCCCTCCCTCCCTCCCTCCCTCCCTCCCTCTTTTCCCTTCCTCACATATCTACACTAGGGATTTGAAATCCTATTCCACAATCTTGGGTTCCTTAAGGGAAAAAAAATTAAGAATCTGGCATGGGAAGGTGAGTGGGGAAAGGTCTGAGAAGGTTTAACAGATTGTCACCAAACTTTTTGTCTCTTTCCCTTCCTTCCACCTTTCTTCTGGCAGATCCTAACCTTGTTTTCCGGAGCGTATTGAATTCATTCCAAAGATGTTTTGCTTTGTAATGCAGATGCAATCTATAAATTTTGGATCTAAATTTGGAAACTTATATTATTTGCTACCTGCTTCAGGTAGTTGGACAAAGTAGGGTGCATGCAGTAAAGGGAGCCACTTTTACTGAAGTTTGGAAGAATTTTGGAATATTTATGATGGATATAACTGCTGTGCAATTGTTTTGGGATCATAGCCATTGCTTAGCAAAGCATTTGAGCCTTGAAAGGTGTGAATGAGGGGGCCTTCTAAATGGGTGTTCCTCAACCTTTGGGGATTTAAAGTTTCAGAATTTCTTAGCCAGCATGGCTGGCTGCAGAATTTTGGAAACTGAAATTACACAATTTAAAGTTGTTGGAGCTGATAAGCTCTGTTCTAAATGCTGCAATACAGATGAAAGTGACTGCTATCAGCAGCCTTTCATCTGCAGAGTTCACACATTGTATTATGAAGAGCAGTGCCTTGCTACTATTTAAGGAGAAAAAAAAAAACCCTTGATTTCTACAGTTTTGTACTTGATAAAACTGGTAGTTAAATATGACAAATTATCAAACTAAACTATTAAGAGAGGAACAAAACCTATGAACTATTTAACAAAAAAAAAAAGAGAGTTTACATTGTGTTATAAATTATTGTTTTTATTTATTTAATTATCTAAGGATTTGGCCATGTGATAGAAAACAACTTTATTTGTCGTTATGGATGCCCACCTAGATTGGAGAGGTGTGGTGAGGAAGTATCAGAGAACATTTTACAGCCTTGGGAGGAGAATATAGAAGAGAAACTATGCTATTATTTTAGAAATATTGGATATCTCTTGCGGGAAAGGACAAGGTAGATCCATCCAATTCCCAGAAAAGCTGTAGTTTTCTTGTTGGGGTGACAGATTGTGATAGCCACAGACCAGTATTTTGAGTGCTCAGGAGTTCCCTTGCAACTTGATGATGGATGATAGTTTTAATCTTCTAAAAAAAACATAAAAAACAATCCTCGTCAGCAATCATGCCCACTATAGTTCAAAGTTTAATGTTCAGAGTTGGTTGGAAGTGGAGAAAACACTGGGTTTTTGTTTGTTTTTGTTTTTGTTTTGCTTTGGCCAAGCCAGGAGAGCAAGATAGTTTTTTATAATGAGCCAATTTACATGATTTAGAATGAGAGAGAAGTATTGCATTCCTTGTTGCCGAAATGCTGAGGAAAACCATCTAGATCAAGGTTTTTTTAAACTTGAAAACTTTAAGAGATACGGATATGGCCGCGGAAGTTTAAGGTGGCATCCATAAAACCCAGAGAGAGCTTCAATTGCACTGTTGGGGTACCACTGTGAAATTTTGGGCCCACAAAAGAACCAGGGGGAGCTTCCATCTCTTGTCTTGGCCACCATCTTGACTTTGGGGGATCATATCCTACAGATCCTCTGCACTGACTTCTTTCCAGGTTTGGCTAGGGTGCATACCAGGGCTAAAGTTTTGCACATCTGTGCATTGCTTTCTTCCCTAGACTACCATCCTGTAAAGTGAGAAGATTGCGATTCAGGAAAAGGGAACAAGAGATAATTTGATATGACTTCACACCTTCTGGTCACCGGGAGTCTAATGGGTGACTTGGCTTTATGGGTTAGGAGTTGCCCAGGAGGGTGCATTTATTTATGGTCTGGGAAATTGGTGGTGTGCAGGGGGGAAAAAAAAACACATTTTGGTCTTTTCATTGTCTGAGTTGATTGACCTTGCCCTTTGACCTTCAATAATTTACAAAGGGCCCCAAATTTCTTCCCGGGAAGGAAGGTTTTGTGAAGACAGCTGTCCCCCATCTGGTCTATGCAAAGAAACAGTTAACAAATGGTGGCAGAGTAAAATGTCTACAGAAATAATGTGGCATAATCCTGCTGTGGGCAGCTTTTCTTTTTTTTAAAAAAAAGTATTTTGTGAATATTATAGTTTTCCCTATTTTTATTTAATTGATGGGATTTTTTTTTTAAAAAAAATACCAATTTATATTAATTAATTATTTTACTGTATAAGTTTTTCCCCCCTCTGGGTACTGTTTATATATATACTTTTTTGGCACTAAAGCAATCATTCTTAGAACATTCCTATTTTCTCAGCATATTTTTCTAGAAAACAGCTTCATTTTCCAGTGAATGTTGGTGGGATAACAGACACAGAAGTCTTGTTTAGCCTTTATGTTTCTTCCACCCACCTGCTTTAATTTATTCACTTCATTTTCGCACCAATCCTCATCTCAGTATGCACTGATTTGTAAATAAATGAATATTTCCTCTTTCTGCATATTATGTGAAAGGTTTTTGGTTCAGACCCCTTGTTCTTTAAAAAAAGAAAAACCTAAGTTAAATCTGGGTATTTATTGACATATGTAATTAGCCAATCTATTGATGGAAATAATTTGGTTTAAATGCTCTGCCTTTGTTTTTTGGAATTATTTTTTCTGTGTATACTTTTGGATTCATGTTGCTTAAAGGTACAGATTTTATTTTTCCTTTTCATTTGTTGTATAAAACCAAACAAGCAAACAAAAGCATTATCCCAGCAAGTTGCTGTCTCTCATTTTGTTGAAGCAATATGAAGAAATTTTTTTTATTATCTTTTCAATTAAAAAAAAGAATGGAAATAAACTTTTTGTGTGTCATGATTCTTCTCAGTGGTAGATTGAAAAGGTGTGTCCGTGGGGGGCGGGGGAATATCAAAAGTGTGCTGACCAATAATCGTGCCTCCCCTGCCAGCTTTGAATGTAGCGGTTGCTATTCCTTTCTTTTCTAATTTACCACTTTGGGGAAGGAATTTCCCCTCTCTAACACAGAAAGAAAGAAAAGAAAAAAAGGGAAGGAGGGAGGGATAAGAGGGGATTTTAAATGCTATGACATGAAGCAAGCTGTGGATACATTCACATCATAGACCGAAGTATGAACAGAATACGAGAGTTGGAAGGGACCTCGGAGGTCTTCTAGTCCAACCCCCTGCTCAAGCAGGAGACCCTGTACCATTTCAGACAAGTGGCTGTCCAGTCTTTTCTTAAAAACCTTCATTGATGGAGCACCTGTCAAATTACACACAAGGGCAGTTTTTCCCCCGAATGCCATCACTCTGCTAAAAACAAATAATTCCCTCAACGCTGTCCAACTATTTACAAAGTCTGCATTACTATCACTATTAATCCTCCCATCCTTCCTTTCACCCATCTCCTCCCACTTAGGACTTTATGACTGCAAATTTGTCGCTTGTATCCTTACGATTTATATCGACTATTTCCTAGTATGATTTGATTGCTTATTTATACACTATGACTATCATTAAGTGTTGTATCTGATGATTCTTGACTCTTGACGGATGTATCTTTTCTTTCATGTACACTGAGAGCATTTGCACCAGGACAAATTCC